TCTTTAATATTCACAATATACCTGTAATATAGGCCTCATTATGTACATTTCACAAATGAAAACCAAAGGAGGTCCCCTGGAGACCTAAGACCACCAGCCAGAGTTTCAAGTTCTCAGTACAGAATTAATTCTTTGAGAGTAAATTCAATAAAAAATTATTATCCTCACAAATAATTAGTTGATTCTTAGATACTCCTAGTTCATGCTGCATCTTTAGGACAGCCTTACTTCTCTCTCATGATAGCTTGTAACAAGTTCAGTGATACTTCACATACTTTTTATTTTATATAATTCTATTGGCCCTAATGCAAAGCCATTAAATAGTCTACTTATGTTTGTTGCTCTGCCAAATGAAAACTTTACAAGATATTTCAGAATGATATTGCTTGAAATAGGCAGCTGGATACAACACATCCAGCAACACAATTTCTGCTTAGCAGACACTAGATCTCCCTTAGAATATTGACTGTATCTCTAAATTACTGACAATTTTTATCTAGGACAGTAGAGATCCATGCCTCTAAGAAAAGTATAGCAGTAACAGAAATTCAATAACTGTCTTAGTCTGTTTTCTGTTGCTATAACTGAATGCTACAGACTAGGTGATTTAAAAAGAATAAAGGTTCATTTAGCATATAGATTTGGAGGCTGAGGAGTTCAAAAGCCAGCATCTGATGAAAGCCTTCCTGCTGCATCAAAGTTTGGTGGAGCATATCATGTGGTGAGACCACAAACCTGCCAACTTTGATTCCTCTTCCTATAAAGCCACTAATGCCATCGTGACAGCCACTCCCTCATGAACTCATCTAATCCTAATTACTTCCCAAAGGCCCCATTTCCACTATTAATGCATGAATTTGGGGATTGAGTTTCCAGCACATAAACTTTTGGAAAATATATTCAAATAATAGAACTAATGAGTTCTAGTAGTTATCATTTGCACATTATTTTTTCCAGATGTGCACATGTGACTGGCTGCTCACTTTCAGAGTGAGGTTGTTATCTTTTCAATTCTTCTCAACTGTAGAAGTATTTACTCTTAAATTAGTTTGAAACAGAACATACAGCTTCAGGGTTATGTGGCTAGGTCATGAAGCCAGTCTTTTAGTTTAACTCATAACTAAATTATAACTCTAATTATAGCATCCATAGATCACAATGTCTTGAATTGCAATTAGATGTGCCTACCTCACTTACCCTGAGCTGATAAAACAAGCCTGTTATGCTCTGGGCAGATACCTCTATAGGGCATCCACTAGGAAAAGAGAACATAGTCATAGGAGTCATAACTGCAGAAACAGAATCTGGGTGTGGAAAATGATGAGTTAATTAAAATCTGCCTTCAGAGATCTGCAGGCTACCTTATTTTTCACGTGCATTATTCAGATGTCTTAGCAGTTCTCAGTGCAATGTATTCTGTGAAATATATAAGATATTCAGTGTAGCTGTTTTCAGGTTTATTATGCAATATTCTGATTCATGAAAATATTCTATTAAATATAATCACTCATGTAATTACTGTGCTTAATCTACAACATACTTTAACATTTCATAGAATTCTGATTTAATCAATTATATTTGATTTAGTATAACTTAGCTGTAAATACTTTTTCTGATGCAGCTGCCTGAAATGATTATCAAGAGCTAAAGTAATATAAAACTCTCACTAACACTATCAACTTTCCAGTGTTAAGAAGAGCACATTGTAATTTGAACTATCCTTCTTTTATTTAAAAAGAGAGTAGATTATTCTGTTTCTTTTAATTGCCTATTTATAAAAATCTTATTGGGAATGCTAGAACTCAAACAATATGTGACCGTATTCGGAAATAGTTTCATTATATACATAATTAGGATCATGTTCTGTTGGAGTAGGGTGGCTCCTAATCAGCATGTCTGGTACCCTTATAAGAAACTGGCCATGTGAAGACAGAGACACAAAGGAGAATGGCACGTGAGGCCGGGCAAAGGTTAGAGTTATGCAATTGCAAGGCTAGAGATGGCTAACAAATGACTGGAAGCTAGAAAGAGACAAGGAAGGAAATCCCTACAGCTTTATAGGTAGCATGGCCCTGCTGACACCTTGATTTTGGACTTCTGGACTCTAGAATCACAAGACAATAAGTTTATATTGTTTTAGCCACTCATCTTGGGGTGCTTTATTACTTTAGCTCTAAAACACTCACAACAACTGATGGAGAATTAAAACTCAATAGAGCCAGAATCTATAAAATTACTTTTATAATAGAAGAAAAATTATCTTGCTAAAATATTTTAAAAAATGTATGTGCTCCTTTCAGTTGAAGCAAGTATTTATATATTCTTCAGCAAATATTGACATAAATGTAACACCTCTGTTCCTCATACATAGCACCTAGCAGAGTGTTTTGAAAATAAATCATCCCACTGTACATTTTGGGACTTAGCTTAAAATGATTAAAAGTAAAAGTAGCCTATAAATATTAAAATATTCACTTATAGAACTTGAGCCATAAAATGTGTACAGTGCTACTGAAATGAGAGAGTAATCATTGAAAAGAATTTGCATGAAGTTCATTAAGTCAAAATTTCATCTGAATCTATATATGGATAATAAACCATATACTCAAGTTCTTGTATTATTCAGATTCTATATTTTCTTTTGCCCTTATTTTGACTTTGAAAAAATATTCTTAGTAATTATACTATGTGACAGGCAAGGACAAATAATATAAATTTTAATTCTTAGTACTAACTTGCTAACAGCTCTTGTATAGAGTTTGGTTAAGGGTAAAATTTAATAATATAATAAAAAGTGAATCTTTAGGGCTATCTATGCATTCTTTGCTTTTTCTTTCCAAGACTCCAGAGTTGCATATTGTTTGATTGTCACAAGGGATCCAGACACAGGGAGCTAACATGACAACTACCAAACAAAGGAGAAAATTTCCAGATACCAAAAGGTTCATTAAGGGGCCAGGGATTTAGCTCAGAGGTTCCACCGCCTGCCTTGCACGCCCAAGGTCCCAAGTTCAATCCCTAGTCCCCAAAAAACAAACAAACAAACAACAACAACAAAGGGTCCATTAAAATCAGGTGAGACCAGAATCTAGTCAGGTTTTTGGAGAAGCACTTTTTCATTCTTGGAAGTCTTTATAAGCTTCCATCCTCCTAATTCTAGACATTTAGGCTTTTGCTATTCTACTGGTAGAAATTAGTATAATGCAACCCCTACCCCCTAATCATCTCTGGGTGTTTATTACTACATGGGAAAACTAGAAGTTTAAATTTTCAGATATATAGTTCCTTAGCAGGAGCAACAGTGAAACTTGTGTGAGAGATCCATCACTACAAATATGTCACTAGAACTAAACAATAAACAGATTCAGACTGGAAAAAACATACAAAACTAATTTTTCCTGATTGTTTATAATATTCTAGTCTTTGTGCTAGGCACTCCCATATAAACTTATTTAATATTTTTAAATTTTAATTTTGACATTTTTATAGAAACCATGTATGTATATATTATAAACATGAAAACATTATCTGATATTGGCATGTATGTTTCTTAATTAAAAATAAAATTTGTTAAATAACATGACAAGGCTTATATCATAAGCAATAGTCCTCTGTTCCATTCCTTCTTACTCCCAATTAATTTTCATTAGTTTAATATGTTCGAACATTTTTAGTCATTTCCATTAATATTTACTTCTCTCCCCACTTTTTCTTTTGTTTTTTTGGCACCTGGGATTGAACTCAGGACCTTGAGGGACAGGTGTGGTACCACTGAGCTAAATCCATGGCCTCATTACTTTCTTATTTCTAAATAATGTGTAGAGATATTTCTTGATTTTTTAGTTTTATAGATTATCTATTGGTTTCCTTCTGTGAAAGATGAGGACATAGCTCTCCTAATACTCCTTCCTTTCATAATACATTTTACTTCTTTCTATCCTTCTGTTATACCTATAAATAACATTGCTTTGTCTATGTAAGTATTATTTATTCTTAAGTCATACAGTATAGTAGGATTTCATTTTTTCTCTTATATAACTCATTATTTTCACATTTAAAAAACATTTTTGTTGCTTGGTTTTGTGTTTTTATTATGAATTTATCCCCAAGTTCTAAGTATAAATCACCTCTAAACATATTTAAGTTTTCTATCCATTTCACATTTATCTTTGCATTCATCTAAAGTTTCATACTGCAATTTCTCTTCTTGCTATTCTTTTTCTGCTATTTCAAGTTAATTGTACTGTAAATCTGACACAAAGTTGTTATCTAGGCCTTTTTCCTTCACCATTATCTCAAGATTCTTCTCCATGCCTGCTTCCTAGGTTGAGTTCCTTTCATTCTTGGGTCCTACAATTTTCTCTTGGTTTACCCTCATTGTATGGAGCACATTGTCCAGGAGTTTCTTGAGAGAAACTTTCATGAAAATGTTTATGTCCTAGCCTTGTATTTCATTGATAATTTTGCTGCATGTAGATTTTTTTCCCCTCAGAACTCTGAGGCATTTCTCCCTTGTCTTCAAGGGTTAGGTGTACTGTGGAGAAGTTTCATACCAGTCATGTCTTCATTCCTTCTGGAAGTTTGTAGACTCATCTCTCTATCCTGGTGTTTATGATATGTTTTGGTCAGGCAAACCCTCTAAGAGGATTTTACTTGCTTCTACCAAACGCTTGGGGGTATTACCAGTCTGGGATTAATCTGAATTAATTCATGGCTAGAACTTTATCAGACCATTTAAGTAGTCTAAATTTGGGCCATAAGCCTGTGTGAGGATGAACTAGAATTTTGTTCGAAATTCTCAGTGACAATTTCCCTCTGTTCCACTCTCTTGCCCAAAATCAAAATGGTCAGTTTTTCTAGTGGTCCCCTAGAAGTATTACGGAGATTTATTTCTAATTAACCCTTACACTGCAGAAACAGCTCTCAGGAATCCTAGAGCTCATTGGCATGTGTATCTCCTAATTAACATATTATACTTTCCTACAAGGAATAGTTCTGGGCTTTCGTCTCTGGCCCCATTTCTCAAAATGCTGTGAAAAGAAGTTGGTACTTCAGGATTAATAGTGAACCACTTATTTTTCTAGGTTCCCATCTTCACTCAATTCCTGGCCTGAGATTTTACTTTCTTGTTTGAAGATTTAAGATGATTAAAAGAATTGCATTTTGTCTAGAAGCTATAGTTATTTCCAGGAGTATAGATATCTGTTCTTTCATCTTGCTGGAAATGCAAGTCTATGTAAACTTTCTAAGCCTCAGTTTCCTCTTTTGAAATATGTATTGTGAGGAATAAGTGAGATTGTTAGTGTAAAGCTCCTGTGTCTGACACTTCAATATTTACCTTTTTAAAAAGAAGCAGAGTTCTTGGAATCTAAACATAAGTTACTCTATTTTGCTGTATTTTTATTGGTATATGGTACCATTAAGACTATGGGATAAAAGGTCAGGATTTAGCTCAGTGGTTACGCTGCCTGCCTTGCAAGTGCAAGGACCCAAGTTCGATCCCCAGTACAACCATCCCCCCTCAAAAAAAACAATGGGATGAAGATGTGAATAATCTGAGGTCTTGAAAAATTGTATGTTTATCATAATAAGAAATATAGTTTGTGTTTTCCATTTCAAAAATTTCCATTTACAATGAGAACCATGTAATTAAACATTTCTAGTAGCCTAGATTTTAACTGAAGGCTGTGTACTTTTCTTGAGACAAAGGAATTTGAAAACATCCCTTTCTCTGTAATCAACTAAGACTCAAAAGGGATGTAAAATGCATGCTTTTTCTTATAACAAACTAGGCTATGCCCTAAATTATACTGTTTTATGGTTGTTGGAAAGTGTCATATTGCATGAGATGATCTTTTTAAACTTTATAGATATGTTTACTCTAAGTAGTTGCCCTTCTCTTTAAAACAAATTTCTACTTGGTGCTGAACAGCCTTTGGTCAGAATCTCTCTGGGGGCTGACCTGACTCAGGGGCACTTCTTTAGCAGGTGCATTGTGATATTCTTCACAGCCAGCATGGTCTCTGTACAGGTGGGTCTGATGAGCACCTCTGGGAGTAAAAATCCAAAATGCCCAGTGTCACGTAGTTCAAAAGCAAATGCATAGGGTATTCCATTTTTGTAAGCCCAATCCATTGAGCTACCGGAACTTACATCTAAAAGTAAAAAATAAATAAATAAAATTATTTAGCCTCATTAACGAACTTGCATAATTTTCAAAATATGTATGTATAGTGGTTGCTTACTAAGTTATACAAAATCCTTCCAATGAAATAATATTCAACAAGAGTAATGTGGTTCTTTGGCTTCTACCATCTTTGAAGATCTAGTCTATGTATTAGTGCTTTGCCAGTATGGTAACATTAAAATTTCTCAACCTCAGGTTCAAAAATATTTATCTTCACATTTACTTTATTTAACAATAAACAACTTATACTGCAGATGTTTTAAAATATTATTTCAGTTCTTATCATTCAGTTTTTTTCTACTTTCAGGTCTAGAATATTGAAATTTTGTTCCCAGAAAATTATCTTATTTTTTTATATCTCCTCCATTTTTTTACTCCTACCCTTAATGTTTTTTGCTTTTACTTAAGCTTGTAGTTTCCAGATTCCTCCTGGTCTCTTGTGGTCTTATTTGATTCTCCATTTGGAGAATCTTTGTTCCTGCCATATACCTTTGGTTCCAAATTTTTTTTTTCTTATTTCTTCTTGATAATTCAGAAGAGAATCTCTCTATATTTTTAAAAAGGTATAATCTTAAACCATTTTCAGTCTGGATTTTGCCTCTACATTTCTATTTTACTTTGTTCTTAAAGGTAACCAGTGATCAAAGACCTAATCTCATTTTTTTAGTTTTTGTTTATTTGTGTTTGTTTTTTTCTCCTCAGACCCTACTTGCAGCCTCTCTATAGCACTAAACATAGCTGACAATCCATTCTGGCAACTCTTTCTTGGTGCCTGTAACCTCAAATGGTCCAGTTTTTTTGCATAGAACTTCAAAGCATAGACACTAACTATAGACTGCCACCAGCCTTGTACAGAATCTTACCAACTACTGCAGAACTTCTCTGTGCCTCAGTCTCCCTTTTTGTAAGAGAAGGTTATCCGAATACTTGTTGAAACTTAAATGAAATGATAAATCAATTTATTATGATATGTTTTCTATTTTTTACTTTACATCTTTATACTTCCAAATACCTAGTATGTAGTTTTTAGTATAACAAGCTCTGTTTAAATGAATAAATGATTTATAGAAAAATCATGGCATACTTTTTCCATGAAATGTATATTATCCAGTTTGAAACACTATTATTAAACTTCTAGAGCATGTTTATTTACTCACACAAAATAACTTTTTATATATTTTTCTAGCACAAGTTAGGATGGAATCATTATGTGAAGATGACAAAAAATTACTCTGCTCTTTCTCAGACTCCTTTTGCTTTAATTAAGGACAGAGATAGGCTGTGGCTTCACTGTCAGTCTGGTTAGAGTACACTGGAATTATAAATAGTAGTCATAGTAGCCAGAGTCAGAGATAATATGTACCAATAGTTACATCAGGGTGATATGACAGCTTCATTTCTATGGTAACAGATTTTTCTTAGTAAATAGTACTATGATTATGCCTTTATACAAAGCTAAAAGGTAAACTATAAGATTTTTTAAAATTAGTGTTGTAAAATTGTGAATATATGATTGTGTGGTACCTGTTGGTAATGTAATTAAAAAAAACTACAATGTTCTTAAAGCTGAAGAAAGTGAGGGGTAAGATGCAGGTAGATAAAAGAAATCAAGGAGAAATCTGCTATTTTTTGAGAAACAAAATCAGATGCTATTACCTATACATACCCATATAGCCTATGTACTTAGTATCATATTTATACAGAGAGACCTTCAGATATACAAGGCTCCTAACTAAATTTTGCCAGTTATTCTGTCAATACATTTTGGAATTTGAAAGGCCATGAGAAATGATGTAATCCAATTCTTCATGGTATACTTATGGGAACTGAAGCTCAGAATTAATAAATAGGTTAGCCAGGAAGACACACCTGGCAGATTTTAGACTATACATCTTATGGTTCTTTGTCCAAGTTCTTTCCATATAACCAGTAGGCTTTTGTTTCACATAAAAGAAGAAATACTTTAAAATCATCCTGGAGAAATCGGCTGAAGATTCATGTAAGAAATAGCTTCTCATAAGAATAGTGGAGGAAAAGAATAAGAGGGAAGCTGTTGCAGAGTTGAAATATTTACTTCATTATCTTCTCAAGGCCCATTTCTACCCTTACAGTAGTTACAATTGCCTAAGGAGACCATTTTGGTACTTTCTACTCTCATAAGATCTTAATTCGATTTGCAGTCATTATCATATGCTTAGCATAGCCTCTTAGAATTTTTAAAATTAGTATAGTGATTTCTGTCAGGCTATGTAAAACTAACCAGATATGAGCTCCTTCCATCTTCCTTGGCTAAATTGATAGTTACAAACATCACGTTAATGAGAACACTCTTTTTGAAAGGGAAGTCATGATATGGTATATTGGTTGAAGAGAGATGATTCTAACACAATGTACACAGGAAACTTACACAATGTTCTTGAGGCAGGTCCATGTTTGTACTTTACTCCATATACTGACCTAAGTGCTTTCACAGCTTTATAAGCTGCAGATTCCTGGAAGTAAAAATGGATAAACTATATCACTTGTATTGTTGCATTGCATTTTTTCCATTAAGTTTATTGGTACATTTTAGGTACATAATACAATTACATTCATCATTATGATCTTGTACCTTTACATGATGTATCTTGGTTCTTATTTTTTCCCCATTCTCCTCTCCTCCCTTTACCCCCTACATCCTTCCCTATTTACAAAGACTTTGTTTCCCTGTTTTTCCTTTTCTCACATTTTTTTCTTTTCCATTCGTTCCTTCCTCCATCCCTCCCACTTCCTCTACTGTTGCACTGAAATTTTAAGAAACACTCATGAGTGCCCTATTGGTCATCAACCCAGAGAATACAATGGGCGCATTAGTTAACAGCTGTACATAAAAATAATATTGATGATGATGATGACGATGACGAACTCATGTGACATAACATTTTGCAACATATTTTAGAACACATCATTTCATTGTCACAACAAATTAGTGATCAATAATATTTCTATTTTACAGATGAGAAAAGGAAGGATTGTGAGGTTAAATGGGGTTAAACAGCAAAGAATGGTTGAGCTAGCATGAATATATGTATTTTCTGGAACTGATTTAGTGTTCTGTCTTATTTAGGTTGGGGGCACCTATTTCTATATATGATAAAATATTTGACAGAGCAGGGACAATGTCAGTCTCCCTCACAGCTCATATCCAGTCCTTAGCAATACGCCTGTGTATAAAAGATGCTTAATCAATATTTCTAATAAGCACAAGTCTGCAAGAGTATTTTGACAATCATATTGATCCTTAAGTATTTTTCAGTGAACATATACAAGGTACTTAAAACATATTTGGATCAATTAAGAAACCATCAAGAATGAATATCTTCTATAATGTTATCTGTTTATCCCTAATGGAAATGAGAACATCAATTTCAGGATGCTTCACGACTCTAAGGTTATATATGCCTCTCATGGAGCTAAGTTAGGTACTGCTAAGATGCAGAAATTCTAAGATGGAACCCTTCCTGTCAGCGCCAGAATCAGGAAAAATAACACAATCCAATTCCTAAAAGGTTGATATCCTAACACGAACTTCGATGATGTTGTCCTTTAAAATATTTAAAACATTTTCATTTGATTGTTTAAACATTTTTATTTTTTTTCTTTTTATTGAGTTCATTGGTACACTTTAGGCATACAGCACAGCTACATTCATTATTGGGATCTTGTACCTTTACGTGACATGTCTTGGTTCTCATTTTTTACCCTTGTCCCTGACCTCCCTTCACCCCCTGCTTCCCTCCCCATTTACAAACACTTTATTTCCATTTTTTCATTTTCTCCTATTTTTTTCTTTTCCATTATTCCCTTTCCCCTACCCTTCCCACTTAAAAACATTTTCAAGTGATGTAAAAGCACTAGTTCCAAAAGTAGTGAGAATAGTATTGTATGACAAGTGAGAGGAAAAGAACTATATTGAAACCAGTATACAACTCTCCCATTTCAGTTCTCCTATGAATAATTTAATACTTTAATTGAAGCATTCTGGACAACATGGTAGTGTGTGCTGGACTAAGTTTCAAGTTGCTGTTCTCATTCAGCTCAGGGAAGCATAAGGCAGCATTTGCAATAAATGCAATCCTTGGTGGATATTCAGGGCCCAGTATCCAAGAGCTGGTGAACTGTTTTATTATTGATCTCACTGATTATGACATTTGTCTCTCAGAAGCGAACAGAAAAGAAATGTAAGCACCATAATGAGCTATCTTTATGGAGAATGAAGATTTTAACATCTTCTCCAGTTGTCTTAGCAGTACTACATGGCAAGGACAGATATTTCTACATTTAGACAATTACTGCATTCTGCTGGTCAGGAGAATTTTGTTTCTTACTATGAGGATGACTAAATCCATTAAAAAACCTATTATGAATAAAAAGGGGGATGTTTGACTATTTAAACAAAACTTGTGTATAGTTTTAACATTATGAGGTCAAAGCATTTGACTATAGGTGCATGTTAATATGGGATTTAGATGTGAACTGTCTACAAAATAGTGGAAATTTCATAACTTTCCCCAAGAATTATTTTTCAAGGTGGCATAGTTAGACTCCTATTTGTAAGACTTAGGTGACTCCTCTTTCCTGTACTGTTTCCTCTTTTCAATTGTTCAAAAGGACTCTGGCATTATTTATTGGTCTTCAGCTAATTAAGGAGCATATTTTTATTTAAATATTAGTATATCAAAAGCAGCTTAATGAATTACTTAAAAATGTCATCAGAAACATGGACTTTTACATACCAATGAAAGGTTTTTGAAATAGTTTTAATAGATTTTCATGGTTTCTGGCTAACATTCAGGAATCACCTAGGTTTTGAGAATTTTTAATCTTAGCTTTAGTGATTTCGCTTATGCTTAACCTACTTGAGATTTTCTCAACAGTGGCACTATTGATTTTTAGACTAAATAGTACTTTGTTGTGGGGGCTGTCCTGTGCATTATAGGATGTCTAGCAATATTCTTTGCCTCTATCCACAAATACCAGTTGCTAATTGTGACAATCAAAAATATCATAGCTGGGTATGCGGGTACATGCTTATAATCTGAGATCTCTGGGGAGCTGAGATAGGGAGCTTGCAAGTTTGAGTATAGTTCAAGCACAACCTGTGTAACGGCAATTTAGAAAGCCCCTGTCTCATGATAAGAAAAAGGAGGGGTCCTAGGGATGCAGCTCAGTACACAGGGCTTGGGTTTCATCTCCAGGATATCCAAAAAACAAAACAAGTACCAAAGCCAACCAACCAACTAAACAAACCCAAACAAAACTCCAGATATCAGAAGGCAAATCTCTCCTTGGTTTTAAACCCTTCATCTACCTTTATGTCACATTATTTAAACCAAGACAGAAGAAAACAGGCTGAACTTATCATCAGAAGATAAATCCAAAATATGGAGAACATTCCAATATGATAGTTTTAATGTATAGCATATAGCATATTTCTCATAATCTTTTATAAGAATATGAATAGATACTATGCCTAAAAGGGTTTAAGGGTTGCCTATAGAAATATGATAGAGGTAGTTTAGGGTATTGGGTCAATTAAAACCCCAGGTGCAGCAGCAGCAACAACAAAAAGAAAGCCTATTTAATCCACAGAGAAACTGAAGAATAGCAATATAGAATACACCATCTTTATAGTATTTCTAAAGAGAGAGATAATTTGCTCAGAATTCTTGGAATTCCAAGAAGAAAGTCCCTTCCAGACAGGATAAAAGCCTTCCCCAGTTCTTTTGTGGCTTCCTCATGTCTGCTATTCCTTCTAGTTCTTGGTCTTTAGATCAGGAATTCCTGAAAACACAAAGCAGTTAGTGCAGGATCTGGGGTTCAAGGAAGAAGAAAAGTTTTATAAAACTTTTTATTCTAGTATAATAAAAAATAAGTGCTTGGTCTTTGTTTCCAATTCTCATACACAGTTCCTAAAACCCTTGGAACCTCCAGAATGTCTTTTGTATGTTAATGAGATGACTGGTAGCTTCTGGGTGAGGCCTAATACTAGAAAGACCAAACCATGTGATCTGGCGACCAGAAATTTCAGCCCCATCCTTTAGCCTCTGAAGGAGGGCAGAGGGGCCAGATATTGCATTTATCACCAATAGCTAATGATTAAGTCAACTGTGCCAATATAATGAAAGTTCCATAAAAATCCCCTAAAAATGGGATTTGGAGAACTTCTGGGTTGGTGAATACATCTAAGTGCTGGGAAGGTGGTATAAATGGAGAAGGCACAGAAATTCTGAAGTCTCTGGCCTCTGCCCTATACCTGATTTATGTGCTTTATAATCAACTGGCAACAGTAAAGCATTTTCATACTCTCTGTGAGTTGTAATAAATTACTGAAATTGAGGAGAAGGTGGTGGAAACCTAGAATCCCTCCACAGCAGTTGATGCTCAAGTAGGAAAGCGTTAGAGGATTGAGACCTTAACCTGTGGAGTTAGTCACTAGATAGACACCCAGTAGGTGTCTGAGAAGTGATGCTGGAAAAGAAACCACACATGTGGTGTCAGAAGTTAGAAAGAAACTTTCAAATATTCACAGAGAAGAGTAGAAGAATTTTAAGTTTACAGCTCAACAAATGATTGCAAAATGCATATATTCTTGTAACTATTATCCAGGTCAAGAGATAGAACAGCAGCAACAACCCAGAAACTTCTTTGTTCCTCCTTCCAATCACTGCCTCCCTTCCCTTCCCCCAAAGGCAATTGCTATCCTGACTTCTAACACTATTTATTAATTTTTCTTGGTCTTGAACTTTATAGGCCTTTAGACGCTATGGGCTCTGAAATGAACTTGCTTAACAATGAATTATACCCTTTAGGGAGCAGGTTGTGGGGTTTTTGTGATAAGGAAAAAAAGCTCTTCTGCATTTTCTGCTCATTTTCAAGTAATCTTATGCCTGAAAAATCTATTCATTCTTAGTACTAATTTTTCAGATCCATGTCCAGAGGCTTAGTAGCATTAAGCAAATAGCACTTATATATTAAACTTGCTTTTTAATTAATGAGAGTGAGACTATAATTTATGAACAATTATTGACCCAATAAAGTTAATTACATCCCAGCATATGTGACCTAAGCTGTAATATTAATCAAATCCACCCTGACCTTTGCTATATAACCTGTGGTAGAAATGCAAATAGGCTTTAAATGATTGCATTTGAAAAGTAGTATCTCTGAAGCTAGAGATAGGGCTAAATCCTTCTGGGTTTTAGTTTTTAACCTGAAAAATGGGGATAAAATATGAATAATAAAGTAGTATAAAATGAAAAGTTATGAATAAATGAGTTAATATATAAAATTACAAAGAATGGCCAGGCATTTAACTCAGTGGTTCTGGTACCTGAGTTTGATCACCGGTACAAAAAAAAAAAAAAAAAAAGAAGAATAAAGTTAGTATGTAAAATTACACAGAATAAATAAGTTAAAATATATATTACCTATTTGAGTAAATATGTATTTGCTATTATCACTAACACTTAGAATCATATCAGCATCAGAATGAAACCATAGGTTCAAATACTTACCACACAGCTAAAATTGGGAATTGTTGCATATTTATAAGAATAGGGATACAGCAACATCTGAGCATATGCATGAAAAGAGAGGTATGCCTTAATGTGCTTTCTGTGTTTTCGGAGGAAGTTAGCTACAGCTTTGACCTCTGGCTCAGATTCTGGAAAAGGGCCACAGTAGGTATCATCACAAGGGTGCATAGAAGCTCCTTCATCTGCAAATCAGAAAATAAATTGGGATGGGTAGTAGGAAGGGAAGACACAAGAAACACAAATTAGCATTGCTAAATTATGTTTTTAAAATTTCTGCAGATCTTTTATATTATAAGCAATTCATTTAATTTCTCATTTATGTAAATCAATAATGAAAAATTTGAGGTGATTCTAGCCCCTATGTACAATAATGGGTCTGGAAGGAAACCAGGTTCTGATTGTTTAAACCTGCAATAACCATTTTAAAGGAACGACTCTCATTTGTCAGTTCTTTTGCTGGAAAAATGACATAATCCCCTAAAGCAGGTTTGGCCTTCCATTTATATGCATTACAACACCTGTACTTTCTTTTCATAACATTCAACATGCTTTTAATGATTTACTCATTCGACCAATGTTTACACTATTCTGGGTGCCTGGAGTACACTAGTTCTATTTCTTAATATAATCTACATTCCTTTTTGTGTATGTTTTTATTTTATTGGTACATTTTAGATATTCATATTGATAACATTCATCATAGGGAATTTGTATCTATACATAATATATCTTGCTTTTTCTTTTTTTTCCCATTTTCCCCCTCCCTTCTATCCTTCTTTTCCTTGTTATTTACAAAAGCTTTGTTTCCATTATTTCCTTCTGTTGTGTTTTTTTTCTTGTCTCTTCTTTTCTTCATCCCTTTCTCCTCCCTTGTTTTCCTTCATCTGGATTCTTTGTTCTTTGTTGAATTCTAATGCTCTATGAAGGAAGGCCCTGTGTCTTTCTTGCTGGATACCTAATAACTAGAAAAACAGTATAGCAAATAGTCTACAAATATTTTTGTAGGCTATACTTCCATAAAAGTGTCTGACAAGATATAAATATTGACATACTAAGAACATAAGGGCAGCCAGAAATAATTCTGTTGGACTGTGCCTAACCAATTTCCATTACAGTATTTTTACAGCAATATTCAAAATGATTTATAAAACCCAAGAGACTTCCTCAGTTATCTCTTTAGTCAGTTAAAGTTTAGCTTAAAACAATCTTCGAAACTAAATTTTAATAATTTTGAATAAAAAAGCACATCAAACAGGCTGTTTATTAAGAGGCTACGATGGTAGGAGGAAGAATCACTATAATAATCACAAAGGGCCAGGGATTTAGCTCAGTGGTTTGGCCACCTTCCTCACAAACTCAAGATCCCAAGTTTGATCCCTGAAACAAAACAAAACAAAAAAACAAAACAAAACAAAAAACCAAAAAAAAAAAAATCACAAAGTATTACCATTCTAAGAAATTTTGGAAGTGATTTAATTTTCCATAGTTATTTGCCATTCAGGGCTATCACTATTCCTTACCTATCTTGAGAAAATAATAACTTGCTTCGTAAGCTAATGGAAAGTTTTGGTGGATTTGTAGGATAGTCCAATTTTATTAAATATGAAAATAACATAAGACAATCAGGCTAAATCTTGAGGACATTAAATGTAGATCATGTGATTAGATAAACAGGATCGAGATAGGAGTAACTCTCTTTTAAATCTCATTCTGGAGATGTCCTGGAAGCAAGTGGGATATAAATGAAACTCAGAACATAATGTTAAAACTATAGCTGATACTCTGAAGGAAATTGGAAAAATAAAGAGATAGCTGTGAAACACTAATATTAAGCACTGGAAAGATGAAAACAAACTGAACAATTAATTTCAGAGGGAGCAGAATTAATGTGCCAGAGAACACAAGAAATTATTATAATACTGATAAATATTCTCAAGGATAGATAAAACACTACAAACAAACAACGACATGAAGTTACATGTTAAAAGCCAATCAGATGTAGAAATAAAAAGCTTACTTCATGGGTTGAATAAATATAGTTGATGAGTGAATTAATGAGATGGAGCAGAGTTTTAAATATCCACAGATGGCAACAAAAACAGTTAAGAGAAAAATGAGAGTATGAAAATTAGAATAAGTATCAATATATGATTTATAGAGGCTTTAGAAGGACAGAAAAAAAGAGAAATATTTGAAGAACTAATAATTAAAATTTCTCTTTGAGGTATCTCCATATTGATTTCCATAGTGGTTACACCAGTCTGCACTCCCACCAACAATGGAGAAGGGTTCCTTTCTCCCCACAACTCCGCCAACATTTGCTATTGTGTGATTTCTTGATAGCAGCCATTCTTTGTGGGGTGAGGTGGAATCTCAGTATTGTTTTCATCTGCATCTCTCAAATGACCAGTGATGTGGAACATTTTTTCATATATTTACTTGCTGCTTTTACTTCTTTGTCTGAGAAATGTCTGTTCATTTCAGATGCCCATTTTCGAATCAGGTCTTTATATGGGGGGGGTGATTGTTTTGAGTTTTTCTAGATATTCTAGATAATAGTCCTTTTTCTGAGGAGCAGCTGGTAACATTTTTTCCCACATTGTAGGTTGTCTCTTAGTTCTGTTGATGGTTTTTTTTGCAGTGCAGAAGCTTTTTAATAAAATGAGATCCCAGTTGTTGATTCTTTGTTAGTTCCTGTGCTACTGAGGATTTCTTCATAAAGTCTTTTCCTATACCAATGTCTTCAACAGTTCTGCCTAACTTATCTTCCAGCAAGTTTAGTTTTCCTGTTTCAATATTTATGTCTTTAATCCACTTGGATTTTAATTTAGTGCATGGTGAAAAATAAGGATCTAGTTTTAATCTTTGACAGGTTGAGATCCAGTTTTTCCAACACCATCTATTAAGGAGTCTATCTTTCCTCCACTGAGGATGGTCAACTCCTTTGTTAAAGATGACTTAGCTGAGTACAACTGGAATTGTTTTTTATGTCTTCCAATCTGTTCCACTGATCCTCAGGTCTGTTTCTTTGCTAGTACCATGCTGTTTTTTTTTTTTTTTTTTTTTTTTTTTTTTTTATCACAGTGGCTTTGTAGTATAATTTCAAATTGGGAATCGTCATACCTGCTACCATGTCTCTGTTGCCTAGGATGGCTTTTGGTGTTCTAGGTCTCTTCTGGTTGCAAATGAATTTTTGGATTATTTTTTCTAGTTCTGTGAAATATTGTGATTCATCTCTTGGAAGACAGGAGGCCCAGAGAAAGAACACAGAGGAAGAGGCCAGAGCCATGATATATATCCCTTGGTCAACCCCAATCACCCAGTCCTTAAACTAGCTCCACCTCCTAAATTTCTATTACCTCTCAATAGTGCAATCAAAGTATGACCTTATCAATGGATTGGGATGCCCTGGTGATCTAATCACCTCCCAAAAGGTCATCAGTTGGTAACCAAGCCTTTATTTAGTACATGGCCTTGGGGGATGTTTTAGATCCAAACCATAATACCCTAAAATTCTTGTTCAAAAGGCAAGTGTAATTTCCAAGACAGACTTGACATTTCAATAAAGAGGGTGTGATGTGCATGTAAAATGAAGAAAGAAGTGTATTTTATTTTATAGTGACAAAGTACCTGGACAATTTTGCTATAGAAATATTAGGGAATGGTAGGGAAAAAAGAGATATATACACTGGGAAAAATGAATTGGGAAGAACAGAGGAGAAGGTAGGGTGGATAGATCATGAATATCTTTCAGGAAGCTTGGTCTACAAGGGGAGGAAAGATATAAAGACAGACAATGGTAATCTTGGGGATCAGTGAAAGGTATTGTCATTATTGATAAGACAAACATTTCTGTAGAAACAATATGGGAAAAAGCAAAGAGGAAGAAGAAGACTGAAACTCTGATAAGAGAAAGTTCTAGAAAGGATGTGAATGAGTGGATCTGACAACTAGGTAGAGTAATAGGTCTTGAATTGTAGATGAGATTTGTTTGTTTGTTTTTTTTCATACTGGTGATGGAACTTGAAACCTTGAGCTTGCGAGGCAGGTGGTGGCACCATTGAGCTAAATCCCTGGCCCGAGATTTCTGATTTTTTTGTTTCCGCCCAATGTTTTTGATTGATATCATATCAGGAAGAAACTTTTAAGTATGCTTTCCTTAATATGTAATTTCCTATAAATTGTAATTTATATATTTATTCTTGGGCTAATATATGAGACACAAAAGTTTAGGGAATGGCTAGTGATGAATTAAACAATGATTAAAATATTAAAAAAAAGTTTTTCTCCAGTACTGGGGATCAAACTCTGTCCTTGCCCTTGAGAGGCAGGTCGTGGAGCCACTGAGCTAAATCCCCAGCCCAAAATATTTTAAAATTTTATTAGTCATACAGAAAGATGTAATTCTCTTAAGGATGAGATCAATGAAATCTAAGGTAAGTACTTTAGCTATATACAGGTATTATTTTTCCTAAACAAATTGAAAATGTAAATTATGATATAAAAGAACGTGAGCACAATAAATTCTTAGTTGATCTCCCAAATGAAATATTCATACAAAATTATGTATACCAAAATCTATAGTCTTTCTGGATGACAAATTATTTATTTTTCTTTTTATTATAGCTTTAAAATTTCTCATAAATGAATTCCAAATGCCATTAACATTTTTAAAAAAGATGTTGTCCCTTTCAGATTTTCATTTTTGGGGTCCACAGTGTAGCTCAGTAGTAAAAATTTTCCCTAGCATGTGGTATGTCTTGGCCTGGACCCTAGCATGGATTTTTTTCCTTTTTCCTTGTATTTCCCACTGTTCAAATTACCTGTGAGCAACACATATTAACAAGTGGAAGAAGGTGTCAATGTAGTTTTCAAAGCTGGGTGTGGTGGTACATTCCTGTAATCCTAGCCCTCAAGAGGCTGAAGCAAGAGGATCACTAGCCTGGGCTACATAGTGAGTTCAAAGCCAGTTTGAACTACATAGCAACAATATATTACTGTCTCAAAGCATTATACAATTATACATATACAGGAGCTATGTTGTTTTGGTCACAAAACAATTATAATCATGTAGTGTTTTACCTCTTGCTTTTTCCTTCAATTATATTGCATGGTACAGCTTCTGCATTAATTTACACTCATCCTATTATAATTGTAACATGAGTTAGTCTCTTGTCTATTA